GGTGCCCGGGCTGCTCCCTTTGCACTAGCATGGATTCCTTTCGGGGATGCTTCTTTCAGGATTTGCATGCATGTAAAGGTCCGTGTAGGAACTCTTTCATGGGAGCCCACATGTCCCCAATTTAAGCCCTGACCTGGCGAGAGCTGAGATCTTGCTTCTAAGGGCAATGCTGCGCGGCAGGAAGAAAGGCCAGTGCACACACCTTCCTTTATAATACCTACTACACGGCGAAGGCTGGTTATAAGCAGGTCGCCTGGAGTCAGACTGTGATGCGGCAGTATCCAAGACCCACCCACTTCCAAAACCCAAAGGAATATCAGTTGCTAACATCTTGTAGAAGATGCAGAATTTGGACCATCTCTCATGGACCCGACTCTTGGATGCCAGACTTCGGGAATCAAAGTGGTCCACAGGACTATGCTTGTTGGTTGACCTCTCGCAGGCACAAAGTCCACTGCCAAGCTTCAGAAGATCGAGGCAGGGCGATGCGACGGGAGGGGACGTTTCAGAGATCATGGCGCAAGAGACCCCAGCAGTCAAGCTGCTTAACCCCAAAATTGCCTGGGACCAGGAGGCCGATACACAGGAATCCAGGGCTGTCTCTCTGGGCTACACACTAGACAGCAGTTCAAAAGTTGCCCCGATCTCAATCAAGAGGCGGCCCTAGCACAAAGCATGTGCACCACTCCGGGATGATGTCACATTAGCAAGTGGTGGAGCGTTCAGTATGTTGCTTCGGGCACCACGTTTTGAGGCATTGCCAGAAGTGGTGCTCGATCCGGTCTCTTTGCAGCAGCGAGGACGGCACCATGCGGCATCACTGTCGCTAAGAAAACGCGGACTGAGCCAGACAATCACTGAGGTTGCTGATGATATGATGTACAGCACCCCATCAGCAAGCCTTTGGAGGATGAGTTGACTTCAGAGATCCTCCCCTGTGTCGGTCGTACACTGCAATTTCTTCTGCAAGGCACGATGAACAACATCAAGCAATACGAAATTGCATTCTTTGGTGGGCAGGTGACATGGACGCACGATGGTCAGCTGCTTGTTCAGGAGGTTTCCAAGGCTTTACGGCGATACGTCAGTAAGTTAGCAACAATAACTCAGGAAAACTACGGGTCATGACTGGGAAGCCGAAGAAAACTTCTTGCTCCCTGATGTCGCCTGCTGCTCCGTGATTTCGCTCTAGACTGCGTTGTATGGTTCTGCGTATAATGATTCCCTTTTGGCGTGCTGAACAACAGAACGTCCTAAGCCGGCAGGACGTGCAGGTTTCTAGGTTGCCAATGGTTCAGTGCCTAACCAGAGCCGAGCGAGTTGCCAAGGTTGGCTCACTTATTGTAGCTGCGTACCCACGCGCTTGCAGCTTCTGGCCCAACCCCCGGTAGCGAAACATGTGCAGACATGAACTAGCAGCAGGTGCAGAATGAAGGGGCATGGGGGCGCGCGGCGCTTGATGCTGGTATTGGTGATGCCAGCCGTGGCCATCGTCCACAATTTTGCACGACAAGGTCAGGGTCTGGAGCAAAGCGCATCCCAGCGCCAGAAGCGAGCTGATGACATCCGCTTCTTGTCCCTTATTGGGACCGAGGGGTCGGGGCATCATTTGCTGACTCCGGTCTTGCGCAAGGTGATGAACATCACTCTTGTGGACCTCCAAGGGGTAGGCCCAGCTCGTCACATCAGCAAGGCTACTTTTGTAGGCGGCGAAGACGTCTTCAATGCTTTCATGGCAGACGATGCATCGGCCTTGCACGAAGCACTTCTCCAACACCAATCCGGGGATTTGATTCAACAAGCTTACAGCTTCCCAACAAAGTTTCATCATCGGTCTGCAGACTCGAGACTCTTCGACTTGACCGGTCTGTACCAGATGTTGGACTCCACTGGAGTGAGGAAGAAGGCGGTTATTCGCTACGAGCGTGATTTAGGCGATTGCGCCAAGTCAGTCTTCAAGCGCTGGCCAAGCCTGTGCGAGGACAACCTTAAAGCCTGTGAAGCGCAGCAAGAAGTTTTCGACAAAGTTATAGAGACAAACCTCGAGACCCTCAACAACATGCAGGTGCCCATTCTGCGGATCGGTATTGCCCAGTTGAACCAAAACTGCCATAAGGTTGGCCGCAGCTTGCTTCAGTTTTTTCGGGACGCCAACATGCTACTTCCCGATTCGCCCTGGCATGAAGAGGACGAGGAAAGAACGCAGAACTTGACAAACACAGTCTGCACCGTTCTTCACAATAGGCAGGAACTCTATTTTAACCAAACGAACGCCACTGCCGAAGAGGGCAGCGCATGATGGCGGACAAAGTCCCCATGGTGCGGTCAACGGCGGCTATCAGAAAAGGGTTTCGATGCAGACTTGGTCTGGTCCATCATACTTTCGCTTGAACAGTTTCGCGGTGAAGCCCCTCCTCCCATGTGCCACTGAGGGCCTGAATGTAAAGACCTTGCCGGAGAAGCTCTATCCGAGACCTGGTCGGAAGTTGAGCTGCTCAATGTGCCGGCTGGGTGCCCTAGCGCCCCAGTGCTAAGGATGAGGCTGCGGTGGACAGATGGTGCTGGCAAGGAACAGTCCCTTGCTCAGTGCGCAGAAGCTGTTTTGCCGAAAGTGCTTTGCACTGTTTGAAAAACAGTACGATGCTACTGCCAAAGCCTAAGGCAAATCATGGTGGCATCACCTGAAGACGTGAGCCGTAAAGCCTGGATGGTGGCTGAGTCTGCACTTTTGGCCCTATGCTGCACCATGAGGTTCCATGAGTTTGCACATGCCGTGGCAGTGTAGCATGGATGGGGGACGGTTCACGCTGCAGAGCTACGGAGACCGAGGAGTAAAACTAAGACCGGATGAACAAAAAGAAGCGAGAAAGCAGAACATCCAAATCTTTGGCAGAGTTGCCAGCAGACTCAACAGCTTGGATAGTGCCCAGAGAGGCTACAGGGCATCGTCCAATGCTTCTAGATGTCTTGGCAGTTCTACAGAACTTCGTGCTCCGCCAACAGCAACTGTTTTCTATTATTCGCATGAGGCGCCCTGGTGGCTTGACACCCTGCCACTGTATCCAAGGTTGTCATCCGAACTTCAGCTGGTATGGGAATGGCTGGCCGTGCAGAGCTCAGCTGTTGACCAAATGACGTTTGAGTCCATGGTCCTTCCTGCCACTCCCCTGCTGCAGATGCCGTGGTTTGATGATGACCCGTGCAGCCGCGTGTAGCTCGTTCAAGTGCCTCGGCTTCAAACGCACAAGACAGATGGCTGTTCCAAAGGGTGCCGGGTAGCGGTCATAAAACATGCTAGCTTTTTCTCCTGGTTCCTGCTGCTTCCCGCCTGCAGTCTTTCCATTCGAGAAGTGTGCGACCATTTTCGGACGTGTTTCACGTCGGCTTTGACAAAAGGGCGACGCACGGGCCGTTGCACGGCTCTTCTGTCAGCAGTTCTGTTTGTGCGCACGGGCCTGGTTGCCTCTGCAGAAGCTTGGCAGGTTATGTTGATTTGCTACTCGTGTTCCAAGCCTTCTCAGACAAGCACCGGATTAGAAGATGTCGAAACTGTTGTCAAAGAGAGGGGGGCTGCAGCCGCTCTGCTCGCCTTGCATCGAAGCCAGGTTGGGATTGCGATCTGAGCAGGCAGGTTGAGACAGCACAAGTATCCTCCACAAACGACTGTTTGTTGGTATCACTGCAAAACAGCCAAGCAGTCAGGCAAGAACTCCGTTCTTTTCTGAAGCTCGTGCTACGATTGAGGCGTCTTCGGTCTTCTGGAGCGCTGAGTGGCAGAGTCAAGCGGCTGACGCACCGCTGTCTACCCGTAACACGTTTGAAGCCTCAGCGCACAGGCTTTGCCATTGTTTTCACAGCAGCTGCGACGGTCCGCCAGATGGCACGGGAAGGACAATTTCCTGGAGTTCAGCATGGACCTTGTTTACAGCAGGTGACCCCAACCATCCGAGGGAGATTTAGAAGGCTACCTGCGCCGTAAGTAGTGTGAATAGCTATAGCCCGAAAGTGACTATGATCGTTTAGGTCATGCTGGACCGGGGCAGGTCTTCAAAAATTAAGCCAATTTCGATGCTCGGAGTGTCTAGGTTCAGGCCACGGTTGTTGAAGCATAGTTTTGCTTGGGGGGGGGGGGGTCAGCGCGGAATGACGGCTTTGCAGATCTTTCGTGCCATGCGACAAGGCCTGGCGCTGTTTTAAGGAGCTTCAACCTGCCGGAATATCTGGGAGTTATTAGGGGTACCTTATAATAAGGATCCTACTATTTAGGGTACTATACTAGGGCCGTTACTAGGGTCCCCTTTTTTCGGAAACTCCCATCTGGCACAGCGAAGAATTCCGTGTGAAGCCTTAGGGTAGCTCTGAAAACAAGATCCCTCAGATTGGATCCTCTGTTCGTCCTAGCAAGGCGTGAGGCAAAAAGAGAACCAAGCGAGTTGTGAGCACGTACTATAGGGGCCCAAATAATTGCCAATACTATTTTGAGAGCTCAGTAATTACAGTATAATGGGCCCCAAAACCCTATTGTAATTATTAAGACCTCTATAATCTCTATATTAGACAGCTGTTGCGCAGCTGTGCAGTCGATCGGAGCCGGAGTGTCATCTGGCCTCGGAGACTCCTCCGGTCGAGGGTCCTCAGGACTGGAGCGGTAGGAAGAGCCCAGCTGAAGTGCTGCACTCCCAACTTTGTTAAATCAGCACATATCGCTGATGAAAGGAAACGTTTGTGAACCCTCATCCCTGGTCGTGCAAGTACCGCTTTTGTCTTTGCACTCCAGTGGTACGCCGCGGCGCCACACCCGCAATTTGTTCACAGGCTATCACTCGAGATTGAATCCACATCTGCAAGCTGCTGACGGATAGTGGTCCGTGATCCCGCGCCACCCAAGGGTACCCGGCACCCTTTGCTGCCATGTGCTTGAATCTATGCCAGCTCAGTGGGGCTCCAGCACATTTTGCTCATAGTGACATAGTAGCGTGAGCGCAAAGACTGCAGCTCCCATGCAGTGCTTGGCGCTTTGCCTCTTGGCTGTCCTTGCGCAGGCAGCAAGTCAGCCAGCCAATGGCAGCTGCAATTTGCAGGCGGCGGCGGTTGGAAAGACAGCTTCAGACCATTCTAACCATTTTTAAGGAACGGCTGCTCCAAATGAGCATTCCTTTGATCAGATACCTTATGCAAGTTAATGTGGCGTTACAGGGATCCTCATTCTTCAACAACCCGCAAGTGACCATGGTGAAGCATTGAGAAGATGTTATCAGCAGTCCCATAGCTTGACAAGGTGAAGGCTGGCGTCTCCAGTGTGGCGAATGGCACGCAATCTCCCGCGCTGTCCTTTGGATGTCCTGAACTTTGCATGTGGGACACCGTCAATGCCACCAAGCGTGTGCTGCCCTCAGCTGAAGCAGAGGAGGTCACTTTTTGTCTCGCATGCTTTTGTGCCCCTAACCTTGACTTCCCTTTCGCCAGTCTTGGCCACCGCTTGAGGTCTTGCTGAGTGGACATGTGTACCGCTGCTCTCAACTCAAGAGCTTCGTGGAAGATGAAGCGGACTCTCGCGATTGCCTTTCGTTGATCGATACGCTGGCCCCCCCTTTGCTGCATTGGTGAGTCCAATCAGACGACGGTGGCGCACAACTCCTGCGACGAATGCGATGCCTGCATCATCGAAGGCATGTGCCTCCACGCCACCATATCGAATCCTTCCCTGAACGAGTCGAGTTGCATTGACGCGGGGACTTGGTGTGGCGACACGGACTCCCAAGCCCAGGAAGCAATCGAGATCGGGATCGACGAGCGGCTGCTGCAACGGGCGTCCAAAGCAGCCTCTGAGGAGCTGATCACGAAACTGGATGAGACCGTGACATCCAAATACACTTGTCATCATGGGTCCACCAGGCGGCGCAACATTCCAGCCAGAGACTACCAGACAGCTTCTTGGCTTCAAGATGCAACCTAGGTCCTCGGTCGAACGCTGAGATCCGTTGCCTGAGGTGACTTTGGAGGTGGGGGCGGAGGTGGCCCTGTGGAGACCAGCCGTTTCATGCGGGTTAATGGCGGGTCAGCAGGGGTCGCCTCGGGCAGCAGCGTACACTCGGACCCGCAGGTGTTCCCTGGCCAAGCCTAGCCCAAAAGCCCCAAAACTGGCCCAAAACTGCTTGAATCCCCCTGAAGACTGTCATGCAGAAGTCCGTTACGCCGCCGAGGATCAGCGATGCCTGGGTCGAGGAGCGCTTCACCATTGGCGACGCAGGCGACGGGCGCATCTCCTTTCACAGCTCCCATCACAACAGGTTCCTGGAGTGCTACCATGGACAGGCCGCCAGCTGGCCAGACAGTTGGCACGGGTCCATGTTCGCAGTCGAGGATTTTGGCAGCGGCCATGTTGCCCTCAAGGACAGGGAGGCTAACACATACCTCAATATAGAGTTCTGTCATTGTCAGACATTTCACAGAAACATGTCGCACAGATTGCCGAAGCACCCGCGATAAGTTTAGGTTTAGGTCTCACCCATGACCGGCGTTTCTAAATTGATCTACAAAATCGTGCCTGCATAGTTGGGAGACGATGCCAAAGCAAAGTGATGTTCGCGAAAACCAATCCAGTTTGCCAGCCTGTACGGCACCTCGCGGCGACTGTTGCTGCACTGTTGCTGATGGTTCATCTCCAGTACATACAGTTCTTTGCCGGCAGGGTCTCGGTGTCCATCTGTTTAGAGCCACGACGGCAGTTGAAGTTGCCCCAAGTGTCGCAGTAGATGGCGGCTCTCGCATTCTGACGCGGCCGGCCGGCTCTGGAGTGATTTTCCAACAGCACCCGACTTAGCTAGGCATGGATCTTGGAGACATGACAGCCTCGAAAATTCAAAGAGCGCTTTCAATCAGAGCAGCCCTTTTGCAGCTGATGGATGGCTCCCCCAGTTCATTTAAGAATTATCTCTTGCAGATTCCAGAAACAAGCCCGCAACATGGCAATGGCAGATGCAGCTGTGGGCCAAGTAAGGAGCTGAGATTGCCGTGGGGTATGGCCCAGACGGCTGCCTTGTTCCTTGCAACGACAACGCTCTTCAACACAGCCGTAATCAAGTCTCGATGCTCCAGTACATATGAGTGACTTCGAAAAGTTAGATATTGACAAGTTGCATGTCCGTGTGCAAGCCTTGAAACGTTCCTGCCGTTCCTTGCAAGGCATTCGTCAGCACCCGTGCGCCGCCTCTGCAGTGCTTCGGACCGCAAAGTATGACCTGCAAGAAGCATTGCTCCTTCTGATGGCCCGTGTGTAAGGCTGCCAACGACAGGCCGAAGGGCGCCGCATGCGGATACAGGGTGTCCCAGGTGCTCTACGCAGCAGACCTGTACCTTATTGAATGGTCACGAAGGATTTAATTCACCTGACGAACGTTCTCGCAATGTACAGACAGCTGAGCAGCAGCAGCAGCAGCAGCAGCATCAGCGGATCGCTACACAAGATCCCCGTGTGGGCCGTGTGGGCCTTTTGCGTCTCAAGCTGAGGGAGCAACAACAGAATTTGCATGCCCGATCCTAACTTGACAAGCATGACTACCGCACCAGTGAATGCAGGTTTCCCGATCGGCCGCAGCTGTGTTGAAAGCTTTCAGGCGCATTGTGCGGCCCGGGCTGTTTCCACAGACCACAGCTGAGTACTGAGTAGTGAGTAGTGCATACGCAACCAACACGGCATTTGTATGATGATTGTTAAAATTATTGGCGATTCACGGACTCTTGCTCTAGCTGTTCTACAGGTAGACCGATGTAGACTGCATGATCATTGGTCATGATCCAGCATCCACAGCAGTACGGCCTTCACAGACGTTGCAGCAGAGCTATGGCCCTGTTGGGGGTCACTTTGTTTGGCTTTCTGGGCCTCTCCGGCTTCATGCCGCTTGACACGTCTCAATGTGCTAAGGGTCTGCTTCAGACGTGGTTTTTTGAGCTGACTCGCGCCCCCCCAAGCCTATCGCGAAATGAGGTTTCTTCTCGAGCGACTGCTGCCTCATTCCGGGCCGACGAGGATGCTGGTGCATACACGACGCAGCATACAATCTTTTATGTAATCGCTTTTGGCAGTCTCTTGACCAAGCACTGGAGCTGTAGCACTGTAGCGCAGCATTTCCTGCAAAGCTTTGTGCCTCGATTTGACGTTCACTCCAGGGCGTGCAAGCTCCCAGCACATGATGCAATGACAGATTTACGAACTTGACAGACTGAATAGTGCGCTAGGCTCCGCGTATCGCGCGTGGACGAGCAGACAGGCCTTCAAGCGTGATTCAATCTGACCGTTCTAGATATTGTGTAGTATATTATTATATGGAATGCGTTCTCTCTCTGCATGTTGCATGTCTCCATATGCATATGAATAATTGTATACATATGTATATATACACACACACATATATATATATATACATACATAAATGTACGTACATTCGTTCATGTGTTTACGTTCTCACGCTTTTACATGTGCAGACTGTGAGCGCCAGGGTTGACCTGGACAACGGGACTGGGACTTGGCGAGAGTCCAGCTTACAAGACCGTGCCGGGGCTGCATTCATCAAACGAGGCGGCCAGGAAGCTTCGAGGGGTTTGCAGACGTCTTAGGCCGGTTGTCCAGGTGTGCTGTGTCACTGTGTTGCAGCCTTGGTCACGATATCTTCCCGATGCTTGCAAGTTGATGCTTCTGCTCCTGTTACTTTCCACGTGAATCCATGGGAAGCCGGGTTAAGGTTACCATCGTCATGGAAACACTTCCGAAAGGACGCCTAGGTGGGTACGCATGTGCTGGTCAACAGCAATTTGAGGCTATGCGCAGTTCGACATAGACCAAAGCATGGCGCATGCTAGATCTGAGCCAGAGACTGGGGTCCAGTCCTTGGCGGCTTCGCACAAGCCTGCTCGTGGTTGAGGTTAGAGGGCGTTTGGCGCCAGGTGTGAACCTTGTACACGGGCAGCAGAAGGTCAGCCGGGTGGTGATGAGCCTTTGCTTCATTTCAGTGAAAACTTGGTGAGATGCGCAGTGAGGCAGCCTTTTGTGCCGAGCTTGCAGAGAGCAACGGCAGTTAACGGCCGGTGGCAAACTACTGTGCTTGAAACATGTCGCGTGTATTACATAATATAACAGATAGCAGATGTATGCAGGCATGTATTTGCGCATGTGTGTATGTGCGGTAGTAGTCAAGGGCTTACATGATCTTACATGCATGGTATCCTTCAACGGTCGGACCCATGTGCAATCACACCGATTAACTTGGCTTCCGTCAGCGAAGGAAAGAGGCGTTCAACGCCGGTTGGCGTGTGGGAGACGAGGTCCTTTCCGTCAACGGGCACAAGGTCACGATCCCGATTTTCATCGCATCCAGATCCCGAGTTTCATCGCATCCAAAAGCCAGAACAGAGCAGTCTCATCAACTTACCAGGATCTTGGAGCGACATCTTGCATGCTACCTGGGTTACCGTTAGTTTGCAAAGCCGCATCGAGTGTCATCGCCAATGTACGGGCTTTGTAGTTGAAGTGGCCGTGAAACCCTTCACCGTGTGCAGCTCCCAAATGTGGCTTGGGAGTCTAGTGGCCTCGGGGTCTGGAATCTGGAATGCTCCGTGAAGCCGAATGCAAGCATCAGGTGCATTCTAACGCCGCGACGCAGCGGGCAGTGCGCGACGCCGTCAAAAGGCAGTTTCAGCACGGAGGCCGTGTGGAATTTGAGGCCTGACGATTGTTCCATTCCATGATGTCTCAAAGCTTTGAATGATGATCGATGCATTCCACATTACATAGAATCAGAGGATGCAAAGCAAAATCTGATGCAATAAGGTTTTTGTTCGTAGACCTTTGGTGGAAATAGATTGAAGTCAGAAGTTCGGTTTGGCTCGCGAAGCCCAAATAGGAAGGTGAGAGTAGGGCCCAAAGTGCAGGATCCCTCGTAAAAAGCAGCATAACCCCGACCCATGTTGCCTTCGAAGGCCTATTCCAGACGAACCTCGGTGAAACTCGGGTAACGCTGATGTCAAGCACAGACTTTCGATTTTTAGATACAAACAGGCCACATGGCCAATGACCGAGAATGTCCGATGAAGAATCCAACACCGACATTGTCGAGAAAAGAGCTATTTGCAAGTTGCATTTGTTCAGAAACAATTACGGAAAGAAGCAAGTTGCACGTTTCCTCAACTTTTCTTCCATTTTTATGGAAACTAGTCGTGAATGCTGGACAGCTTCACTCGGGTTCAGCCAGGGCACTGCAGACCTTCCTGCACAGCGTGAAACGACATTATTAGCACCAGTGCGGCATGCGCAGGTCCGCCGCTGGGGAGTTCCGGACGGCGGCCGCGGCATGCTACAATTTACGACGAACGGGCGCAGCGAGCTTATCATGCTTATCTTCTTATGCAGGGGAAGTATGAATAGTGCAGCGGAAGGCTTTAACATAGCTCCTGAGCTGACATGCCTTGGGCCTTGGGATGAACTTGAGCGTATCTTTGTGAGGCTCAGTCCGTCAATCTGGGAGGCTCAGTATGAGTTTGCTGTGCTGTAGCCGGCCATCTTCAGCCACCAACAACATCATCGGAAATCTTAGCCCACATAGGTCCCGCAT